TACTATTATTATTATTATTATTTTTTTTATTATTTAAATTTTCTTTTTTAACCTTTTGTTCAGTTCAGTAGCTTTTATTTGTCCTAGTTTGGGCCGTTATTGAGCAGTAGCAGTTCACATTCACACTTCACACATAAAAACACAAGAAACACATAAAATATATTTTTTTAAAAGATCAAATTAACCCTTTAAAGCCCGATCCAAGAAAAATAGGAAGAAAATTGGATTTTTTTTAGTCTGAAGTCTTTCTTTGGCCCCTCAACAACATATAGGATTTTGCTTTATTCATCCTCTGCAATGCACTTATCTATTTATTCACCTTAACCCTATAATGCCAAATGTATCATATTTAATACATACAGTTTCTGAAGTATTTTCGATCTGAGCCTTTCTGCATCATTCAGTGGTAAAAGCTTTGCTCAAACCCCTGTTGTACACATTCAGATATACCTGATAACAGCCAGTAGAAGACTACACCAACATATATTTCTGACTTATTGCACGCTAAAAACAAGGAAGAGACACACACAAACAGGCAGCAAAAACCAAAGGCAGCCACCAGATTGATAGTAAAGACAAACAGGAGATATTTTGAATTTTGTACAGCAAAATGCACAGAAGCTGAAAGGTGTGTGTCCGGGCTAATGAGTTAGTGTGTCCATGTGTGTGTGTGTGTAGAAGCACAGAGGTGCAGCTTTCGGAGAGGCTGAAGAAAAAGCGAGGATCCGTCTCTCAGCAAAAGCCAGTTAACATTCATCTCCACATGCCACAGCGCCTCGGTCACCTGCCTCTCAGCGGGAGGAGGAGGTTTATTCCCGAAATGAGACGCGGTAATAACAACCTCCGGTGTGTCTGAGTGATAGCACACGAGGCCCCGGGCCAAAACATTAACGCTTATTAGTTGTTTTTGGTGAATGACCGGCTAAATTGATTTCTTCTTTTTTTAATCAAAAAGTTTGCATTCGTGGAATTAACCCTTTAAAGCCTGATCCAAGAATAAAACAAAACATAAAATTACTTTTTTTTTGTTTGAAGTCCTTATTTGGCCTTTTAACAAAAAATGTAAAAAGAAAAAAACAGAAATACATTTTTAATATTAATAATTTATTACTATGCGATAAGTCAAAATGATTTTTTGTTTAGTCTTCTGCCCCCTGTTATCAGGTGTATCTGATTGTGTCCAATAGGATTCTGAGCAAAGTTTTTACCATTAAATTATGCAAAAGGTGTCAGACGCAAAACATTTCAGAAACCGTACGTATTAAATATGATACATTTGGCATTACAGGGTTAAAACGGCGGAGAGTCGGGCCATTACCTCCATCACAGGATGCTGACCGGTGCCGCACACGGACTCACACCTGCCGTCCGTCAGCAGGTATCCAGGGAGGCAGGAGTCACAGGAGTGGGACGTTTTCCCTGAAAAACACACACAGACACACAACAAAAACAGTCAATCTGACTATCCTGGTTGCTTTTTCCCAGCTAGGACTCTCTTTAAGGCATCAGGAAGTCAACTACAGACCAATGCACATGACTTGTGTGTAATTTTCTGGAAATATGGATCATAAATGTTCAAAATTCTGGGTTTATTGGAGTCCCGGGGGAACCAGGACCAGAGGGTTCTGGGTTGGAGTCCCGGGGGGAACCAGGACCTTTCTGGGTGGAGTCTGCATGTTCTCCTGTGTCTGTGGGTTCTCTCCGGGTTCTCCGGCTTCCTCCCACCGTCCAAAAACCTGCATGTTAGGTTGTTGGACTCCAAACTGCCCTTAGTGTGAGTGTGTGTGGTTGTTGGTCCTTGCGTGTCTCTGTGTATCCCTGTGATGGACTGGGGACCCTGCCTCTCCCCATTGGCCACTGGGATAGCTTCCACCCCCCCTCTGGGACCCCATTAATTCAATTCAATTCAATTTTATTTATATAGCGCCACATCACAACAACAGTTGTCTCACAGCGCTTTCCAAACAGAGCAGGTCAGACCGGACTCTGAAGTTGATTACAGAAACCCAACAATTCCTACTATGAGCAAGCACTAGGCGACACAGGCAAGGAAAAACTTCCTTTTAACAGGCAGAAACCTCGAGCAGAACCACGGCTCAGGGTGGGCGGCCATCTGCCTCGACCGGTTGGGGGAGAGGGAAAAAGAGGGCAAGAGATTCCATCCATCCATTATCAATACCGCTTATTCCCTGTTGGGGTCGCGGGGGGAACTGGAGCCTATCCCAGTGGTCAACGGGCGAGAGGCAGGATACACCCTGGACAGTCCGCCAGTCCATCGCAGGGCCACACACAGGACAAACATTCACTCCTAAGGGCAATTTCCCCAATCTCCAAACAACCTAACATGCAGGTTTTTGGACGGTGGGAGGAAGCCGGAGAACCCGGAGAGAACCCACGCAGACACAGGAGAACATGCAAACTCCACCCAGAAAGGTCCTGGTTCCCCCGGGATTCCAACCCAGAACCCTCTGGTCCTGGTTCCCCCGGGACTCCAACCCAGAACCCTCTGGCAGAAAGGTCCTGGTTCCCCCGGGACTCCAACCCAGAACCCTCTGGCAGAAAGGTCCTGGTTCCCCCGTGATTCGAACCCAGAACCCTCTTGCTGGGAGGCGACAGTGCTAACCACCACACCACCAGGGCAAGAGATTATTAGAGATATTCCATTAGGGAATAAGAGGCTACGATAATGTGTTTTTGGGCTGACCGGAGCAGGTTCTGCAGCCGGCCGGACACGGCTCACAGGTGCGGTGCTCCGGGTCGAGGCGGTGTTTCTGGGGGCAGGCGGGCAGGCAGCGGCCCTCCCTCCGCAGGAAGAGCAGCCCCGGGGCGCAGCTCAGGCAGGCGTCCTCCCCCGCCCCCCCGCACTCGCCGCAGCTCGGGTCGCACCGCTCGCAGGTCCGGGAGGCCGCGTTGCCATAGTGACTGGACGACAGAAGTTATGACAGATCAGATTCAATTTAGACGAAATGAGATTAGCGCTCTGTCCAAAAGGATCCTGACGGAAAACACCTCGTCCGTCACTTTTGGGACTCTGTTTACATCCAGATCTGAGACTTACTCACGCTGGCTTTGTATCCTGCTGCTTTATCTGGAAAATTTAACTGGGCGTCAATTTAACGGCACGTTAATTTAACTCCCTCAATTACCGGATCGGCCCCAGACGAAGGGCTATTTAAATCTCCAGCTAAATGAGCTCGCCTCTCCAAACCCGTCCTGCCTTAGTGTCCACAATGCCGGGCTGATCTTTTATTAACAGCAGGTAAATGTTAGAATTTGGCTATAATTACTCACTTTAGCATTGTATGCTACCACATGATCTATGAAAATGACTAATTGTTTTATTTTATTTTCTAACTATATTTTGTGTTAAAGTCTGGCTGTGTCCACAGACTTAGGCTATAATTACTCACTTTAACAACCATTTCCCTGCAAACATACTGTTAGAATTTGGCTATAATTACTCACTTTAGCATAGTATGCTATAGCATGATCAATGTAAATTACTGATTGTTTTATTTTGCATTAGATCCACCTTTAGGTCAACACAAACACACACCATTTGTTACCACATTCCTGTCATCTGCATGAATTAGGACCTGGCCTGTTGCTGCCCAGAGGTAACTGGCCAATAGGACTTGGTTGTGTCCAGTCCTCCTTTGAGGAGGCGGATGGAGCCCAGGAGATAATGCCCATCACCCAGATCTCAGGGCTCTTTGCCCACTGAGACCCAGAGAGAGGTTTTTGTCTGTTAGAGCCCAGCTGATACACTTAACTGTGACCCAATAAATTGTATTTTTTTAAACTTTTGATCCACTCTGGTTTAATCTCAGGTTTCCAACTACAGAATCGGGTGAACAGAACCAACAAAATCACAGCGTCTCGCTTAAATTAGACCGAGAGCTCCACGTTCTGAGCAATAAGCCAAGAAATCTTATTTCCCTTGCTTCCAAACACTGCAGTGACGAGCTATAATCAGAATTAATCACCTCAGCAGAGTCCATTTTCTCAATATTTTTCATAAAACTGATCGTCTCAATGACTGGAAACACCTGACAGCTGAACGGAGTGGCACAAAAATAGCTTGTTAGCATTAAACCGTAAAGGAATAAAACAGGAAATACACACAAAGTAAAGAAGAAAAACCTGCCTGTGGTCACACTAATCAAAGTTAAGCCCACTGAGACCCAGAGAAAGGTCTTTGTCTAGCTCAGTGTTTTTCAACCACTGTGCCTTGGTACAATAGTGTACGGCGAGTGATGGTCAGGTGTGCTGTAGAAAATCATCCTATTTCACCTAATTGGTCTAAAAAGATTTTTTGATAAGGAATTAATTATCTGCAAATAATATTCCATTTTTGAGTGTCTGTGCTGTTTTAGTGACTGGTGGCGTAATCATGTAATAATTCCTTATGACTATATTTTGTATATAATTTTGTATATTGAAGTGGACATGTTAAGGGCAATTTGAAAGAAGAAATATAAAATATGATAAGAATACTTTTTTGTGTTTATTTGATTCCTATTCAAGACACTTAAGATAAGATAAGATAAGAATAAAATAAGAATAACTATAGTGTTACTATAGGCGGCTACAGATTTAACATTTTTGTTTGGTGGTGTGCCTCGTGACTTTTTCTATGAAAAAATGTGCCTTGGCTCAAAAAAGGTTGAAAAACACTGCCCTAGCTGATATACTCTGGTATATTCTCAGGTTTCCAACTAAAGAATCGGGTGAACAGAACCAACGAAATCACCGCATCTCGCTTAAATTAGACCGAGAGCTCCACGTTCTGAGCAATAAGCCAAGAAATCTTATTTCCCTTGCTTCCAAACACTGCGGTGATGAGCTATAATCAGAATTAATCACCTCAGCAGAGTCCATTTTCCCAATATTTCCCATAAAACTGATTTTTGTACCTTGGCTCAAAAAAGGTTGAAAAACACTGCTCTAACTGTTATACTCTGGTATATATTCTCAGGTGTCCAGCTAAAGAATCTTGATAACATTCAGGTGGTGGACGGCGGGCGGGTGGAGATACCCGTGCTGGCAGGTCTCCACGCACTCCTTGGCCTCCCGAAACAGGTGCGCTTTGCAGGCGAGGCACTGGTGGCCCTGCTGACCGACGCAGGACAGGCAGGAGGCGTGGCAGGGCTGGCAGCTCTGGTCCGGCCCATCCTCGTAGTGACCCGCCGGGCAGCGCTCCACGCAGGAGCCATCTGGACCGGCACACACACAATCACACCGCTAATCAAACATGGCGGCGCGAGCACCAGGGGCCATCGGCCTGCTGTCCGACTGACTGTTAGAATCGGGCTATAATTACTCACTTGAACACAGTATGTTATAACTTAATCCATGTAAATGACTGATTGTCTTATTCCTTTTTAGATTGATATTATTCCCTTTAGAATGATACTTTTGGGTTGAACTCTCTACTCCTTTCTCTGTTACAGTAGATACTTTTTAGATTTATATAATTCCCTTTAGAATGATACTTTTGGGTTAAACTCTCTACTCTCTCTGTTACAGTAGATACTTTTTAGATTTATATTATTCCCTTTATAATTATACTTTTGGGTTTAACTCTCTACTCTCTCTGTTACAATAGATACTTTTTAGATTTATATATAATTCCCTTTATAAATATACTTTTGGGTTAAACCCTCTGGCTGTTCCTCCTCCTCCTCCTCCTCTCTCTGTTACAGTAGATCCTCGTCTTTAAGGTCAATATTCACACTTTCTTATCATATTCCACCTAAACCTGCATGAATTAGGACCTGGCCTGTTCATGCCCAGACGTAACTGGCCAATAGGACTTGGTTCCGTCCAGCCGTCCTCCTGTTCTAGACAGTTTAATCATGGCAACAAGCAGGCAATCTGACATCTATTTAAGGCACATCTGAGTATGTGCCTCAAACATCTGGACTGACGTCCAGGAGAGACGATCATAGCACGGTTTTGCCTGCAGGTGTTAGAATTGGGCTATAATTAATCACTTTAACACAATATGTCATAACTTATTCCATGAAAATGACTGATTGTCTTACTCTTTGTTAGATTTCTACAATCCCCTTTAGAATGATACTTTTGGGTTAAACTCTCTGGCTTGATCTACTCTGGTTCATTCTAAGGCTTTCAACTAAAGAATCGGGCTAAGAAGGGGTCGAATCTTATCAAGCTGGAGAAATTCCAACGTTATCTGCATGAATTAGGACCTGGCCGGTTCATGCCAGGGTTAGGGTTAGTAACTAACTAGCCAATAAGCAGTGTCCAGTCCTTTTGAGGGGTGCGTGCCCAGCCCAGAAGACAAATACCCATAACACCCGGAGTTCGGGGCTCTTTGTCGACTAAGACCCAGAGAGAGGTTTTTGTCTGTTAGAGCCCAGCTGATGTACTTTGCTTGCGACCAATAAATGGCATATTTGATCTACTCTGGTTTATTCTCAGGATTCCAACTAAAGAATCAGGCTGACAAGGGGTCGAATCTTATCAAGCCGGAGAAATTCCAATGTCATCTGCATGAATTAGGACCTGGCCTGTTCATGCCCAGAGGTAACTGGCCAATAGGACTTGGTTGTGTCCAGTCCTCCTTTGAGGAGGCGGATGGAGCCCAGGAGATAATGCCCATCACCCAGATCTCAGGGCTCTTTGCCCACTGAGACCCAGAGAGAGGTTTTTGTCTGTTAGAGCCCAGCTGATACACTTAACTGTGTCCAATAAATGTCATTTTTTTATACTTTTGATCCACTCTGGTTTATCCTCAGGTTTCCAGGTAAAGAATGGGGCTAACAGGACTCACTGAGCAGCAGGTGCCCGTGGCTGCAGCTCAGGCAGTGGTGTTTCCCGGGGCCCCAGCACCGGTCGCAGGACTTGTGGCAGGGCTGGCAGGCCCCGTCGGGGCCGGCGTGTTGCCGTGGCGAGCAGGAGCCGGACGCCGGCGTGCACCGGTGCTGGTCGTCCAGCCGGTCGGCGCCTCGGCAGCTGGAGCAGGAACTCGCCTCCGGGCCGAAACACGTGAGGCAGGACGCGTCACAGTCTGGGAAAGGGAGAATATCTTGACCTTGTCATGTCTTTTTTTGTTTATGTTTATGATTATGCATTTGGCAGACGCTTTTATCCAAAGCGACTTACAGAGTAGACACAATATTACATTTATCATCACTATGACAATAAGCTATACAGAGGAGAAACACTGATCAGAGTCAGTGGTGAGATAGAGATAGAGGTAGAGGGACTACAGAAGGAGCTGTGGGGGGTAGAGGTACGGGTTAGGGTTAGGATAGGAGCAGTGGGGGGTAGAGGTACGGGTTAGGGTTAGGATAGGAGCTGTGGGGGGTAGAGGTACGGGTTAGGGTTAGGATAGGAGCTGTTCTTGTAGCTTGGTAGGTGGTTCCACCATCTTGGAACGACACATTAAACAGTCTGGATGGTCTTAAGCTGATGAAGGCTCTGCTAGACCACAGTCCACTGATGACCGGAGTGATGGAGTTGTGACATAAGCCTTTGCAATAATGCCTAATATCTCTATCTCACCACTGACTCTGATCAGTGTTTCTCCTCTGTATAGCTTATAGTCATAGTGATGATAAATCTAATATTGTGTTTACTCTGTAATTCACTTTGGATAAAATCGTCTGCCAAATGCATAAACATAAACATAAACAGAAGTAAAATGGTTAATGCTAAACCCAACCGGGTGGGACAGGAAAAGAGAAAAAAAAAAGAGGGAATAAAAGGATAAGAGAGTAGAGAAAGGGTAACAATAACCCACGGCGAAAAGAAGAGAGAGCCCTAAAACAGGAAGAGACGAAAAAAGGGAAAGACAACAAAACCATCCATTCAGATGCTGTATCTGTAGAAAGATGTCTTGTAGACAAACCTGAGGGAGAACCTGTAGGAGGACCTGTAAACAAAAATGTCTACCAGACAAAGTCAAAGAGTTTTTCTCTGGGTTTCTCTTCTGGGTTTGGGAAAATGGAGTCTGTGCATTTTCTGTGTCAGAATCCCCCCCTCGTTTTGCAGCGGGGCCTTTGAAATCTCGCTCAGTTGGAAGATACTTTGGGATTTCTCACAACGCTTCCTGAGAAACACGCCGTCCTCTGTGTTTTTCTCTCTCTCTCTCTCTCCAGGGAACCGGCGCCGGCGTCCCGGTTGCAGCTGCCGCCGTTTGACAGCTGCCTGTTAACTGTCTGAGGAGCTTTGCTATTTCAGGCTGAGCCCGAGTCAAGAAATACTCTCAGGCATAGTAGGGAACATAATTTAGAAAATACGCGAAGGGCGCTCGGCGGGACAGAAAACACGCTGAGTCTGTCCTACGTTTCCTCTTTAGATGAGAGCATTTTATCAAGAACATCAAGCTGCAGACTGCAGGAAGCCAGGGATGGATATCCGACTCCGCCCACATCCAAGTCGGCCATTTTGAGTAGGTCACCAATAGGAAGATCCCAGGCAAGAAAATCCTAATTGCTTCATGGCAATATAGACATTAATTTAAAAATAGTGAAATGAATCTAGCAAACACTGAATTAAACTCTATAGATAATATTATATTAAAATATTGTATGTTAAATAGGTTTGTACAATAAGTCCAAACAAGTTTAACCAAAAAATATTTATTTCACTCAATTATGAAGGGTGGAGGGTTAGGGTTAGAGTCAGGTTTAGTTTTAGGGTCAGGGTTAGGTTTAGGGTTAAGGTCAGGGTTAGGGTTAGTGTTAGTTTTAGGGACAGGGTTAGGGTTAAGTTTAGGGTCAGGGTCAGGGTCAGGGTTAGGGTTAGGGTCAGGGTTAGGACATCATTTATCTTCCGATTTCCTATAGACAGTAAAGTTTCGTTTCCACCTCAGAAAGCTGCTAGTCACATGACCTAATCAAAATGGCCGACTTGGATGTGGGCGGAGTCGGACATCCAACCAAGTCTCCTACAGGCTACAGGCTGCTCCATTTTATGTCTAATGAGATCCTTCTTTAGTAAAGTTTCTCTGTGATTAGGGGCGTACCTCTGCACTCCCCAGTGGGGCCGTCCCTGTAGGCTGTGGGGGGGCAGGGGTTAGGATTAGGGTTAGGATTAGGGTTAGGGTCAGAGTCAGGGTCAGGGTTAGGGTTAGGGTTAGGGTCAGGGTTTGGTTTAGGTTTAGGTTCAGGGTTAGTGTCAGGACATCTTTGTGTTCCGATTTCGTATAGACAGTAAAGTTTCATTTCCATCTCAGAAAGCTGCTAGTCTCATGACCTAATCAAAATGGCTGACTTGGATGTGGGAGGAGTTGGATCTCCAACCGAGGCTGCAGCCAGAGGCTCCTCCCATTTTATCTCTAATGAGATCCTTCTTTAGTAAAGTTTCTCTGTGATTAGGGGCGTACCTCTGCACTCCCCGGTGGGGCCGTCCCTGTAGGCGTGGGGGGGGCAGCGGGGCAGGCAGGCGCCGTTGAGCAAGGCAGCGTCCGGGTCCATGCAGGCGTCGCAGTCCCGGGCCCCCGGCCCGTCGCACAGAGCGCAGTCCGGGTGGCAAAACAGACACTCCCCCCGCTCCACGTCCTCGTAGAAGCTGTCCGGGCAGGTCTGGACACAGAGACCCTCGTGGAGGAAGTGGTACTCCTCACATCCTGCAGGGGGGGTGTTAATGGAGGTGTTAGAATTAGGCTATAATTACTCACTTTAACCACACGAACAGTTCAGAACGGAACAAGCTTAAAAAATATTGTGTCTTCAGAACTACTGCAAATGATAACATGAACTTACCTGTGTGTATATGTTGTATAGTTTATGTTTTTATTATTTCCTACTGTGATTTTTTTTTTTTTTTGTATGATCTGTTTATAATGTAATATCATTTCTTCATGTGAGGACCCCAGGAAGACTAGTGGCCATTTATTTGGCAGCTAATGGGGATCCTAATAAAACTAAACTAAACTAAACTAAACTAAACTAAACTAAACTTTAACAGCAATTTCCCCTGCAAACATACTGTTAGAATTTTGTAATAATTACTCACTTTAGCATAGTATGCTATAGCATGATCTATGTAAATTACTGATTGTTTTATTTTGTTTAAAAACTATATTTTGTGTTGAAGTCTCTGGCTCTTCTTTTCTCTTTTTTTCTTTCTCTGTTGCATTAGATCCACCTTTAGGTCAACACACACACACACACCATTTGTTACTACATTCCTGTCATCTGCATGAATTAGGACCTGGCCTGTTCCTGCCCAGAGGGAACTGGCCAATAGGACTTGGTTGTGTCCAGTCCTCCTTTGAGGAGGCGGATCGAGCCCAGGAGATAATGCCCATCACCCAGATTTCAGGGCTCTTTGCCCACTGAGACCCAGAGAGAGGTTTTTGTCTGTTAGAGCCCAGCTGATGTACTTAATTGTGACCCAATAAATGTAATTTTTTTATACTTTTGGTCCACTCTGGTTTATTCTCAAGTTTCCAACTAAAGAATCGGGTGAACAGAAGCAACAAAATCACCGCATCCCGCTTAAATTAGACCGAGAGCTCCACGTTCTGAGCAATAAGCCAAGAAATCTTATTTCCCTTGCTTCCAAACACTGCAGTGACGAGCTATAATCAGAATTAATCACCTCAGCAGAGTCCATTTGCTCAATATTTCCCATAAAACTGATTGTCTCACTGACTGGAAACACCTGACAGCTGAATGTAGTGGCACAAAAATAGCTTGTTAGCATTAAACCGTAAAGGACTAAAACAGGAAATACACACAAAGTAAAAAAAGAGGAAAACTGGCCTGTGGTCACACTAATTAAAGTTTGGCATTTGTTTCCTCTAATCGGCTCCCGGTTGCAGCTGATTTCAGCAGCAGAGCGCTAAACTCCGTTTGGCCGGCGGCACAGCAGCTCGGCTTGTGTTCGCACCAGTCCAGGTGCTGGTTCTGCCTCTCTGAGCCCAAACCGGTTACCCACCGGCAGCGTTTACAGCACGTGCCAAAGAAGACTGGAAAACACCCGAGTCCTGGTCTCTAAAAGATCCGTTTGTTTCTACACATACGGCAGGATGTTGTTAGAATTTGGCTATAACTACTCACGTTAGCATAGTATGCTATAACATGATCTATACTAATTATAGATGGTCTTACCACAGATTCTCTCTCTGTTACATTAAAAACACGTCATTAGGTTAACACACACACACACAAACTTTGTTACCACATTTAAAGGTTACCTGCATTAATTAGGACCTGGCCGGTTCATGTCAGGGTAATAGGGTTAGTAAAGAACTATATTTTGGGTTAAAGTCTCTGGCTGTGTCCACAGACTCTCTTTTCTCTCTTTTTCTTTCTCTGTTGCATTATATCCACCTTTAGGTCAACACACACACACACACCATTTGTTACCACATTCCTGTCATCTGCATGAATTAGGACCTGGCCTGTTCCTGCCCAGAGGTAACTGGCCAATAGGACTTGGTTGTGTCCAGTCCTCCTTTGAGGAGGCGGATGGAGCCCAGGAGATAATGCCCATCACCCAGACCTCAGGGCTCTTTGCCCACTGAGACCCAGAGAGAGGTTTTTGTCTGATAGAGCCCAGCTGATACACTTAACTGTGTCCAATAAATGTAATTTTTATACTTTTGATCCACTCTGGTTTATTCTCAGGTTTCCAACTAAAGAGATGAGCTAACAATGTGCTTGTTCCTTCTCATGTGAACCTCTCTGAGCACAGATATGGGACTCTTCTCTGGCCTGTTGGCCTCTGTTCCCGGTACCTGTGCACTGGCCCAGCGGGCTGCACTCCCGGCAGGCGGGGGGGCACCGGCGGCACTCCCCTTCCCGGACGGCGTGCGCCGGAGGACACTCCTCCACGCACCGGTGCTCGTGCAGGAGGAGAGGCCCCTCGCACGCCAGGCAGTGGGTGGCGTTCCTCTCGCAGGACGCGCAGCCGGGCGCACAGCTGTGGCACAGCTGGCCCACCGGAAAACCTCTGTTAGGAATCAGAAAACAAGCACAGGACTGGACGGTGAACGATCAGTTACTCCTAAAGGGGACATATTATGCAAAAACAAGTTTTTAACTCATTGGCTGCCAAAGACGTCTATAGACGTCAATTCAAATACAACCGTTGACTACCAAAGACGTCTATAGACGTCTTTTATGTTTTTCAACGAGAGTGGCTGGGGGACGATCTGCTAAAGCTTGTCCGTAAATATCAGGCTTCTAGACAGAGTATGTAGTAACAAATTGACCCTCTAGGTGGTAGTGCCACTTTTGATGGGAGATGAGCATAGACTGTAGGCAAATAAGAAAAAGTTAACGGTTCGCTATGAGAGAACATGTCGCCGGTGAGACGCAAGTCGAGGAAGAACGGAATAAGGTAGAAACCATTTTTTTCCTGATGAAAGGAGAGAGTGTACTCTTTCTTTTGGTGTGTTCGGTGTTTACATAGTCATAGCACAAACTGTTCTGTGGCTTTTGAAAAATCAGTCAAAATGCTCAAAAAACTCTGGCAGTATAGGACTCTCTTTTCTGAAAATGGCTGGCAGTCAATGAGTTAATCATTTGATTATGTACATTTGGGACTGTGGAGGGCCTATTAGCAGGCAAAGTGTGAAAAAAAATGACTCAGTCATGTTTTTGTGGGCCGCCTCAGTCTGAATCCAGGAGATAAATCAGGAGGTTTCAGGAGTGGGTAGTTTCTGACGTCATTAGCTCTAGCTCATTATAATATTCCAGCCTTTCACCTGCATGTTGCCCCCCCCCCCTCAGCTTACTCCGCCTATCTGTGGCAGACGTCGTGGTAGCGTGAGCGTTAGCATGGTAGCGTTAGCATGGTAGCGTTAGCGTTGTAGCGTTAGCATGGTAGCGTTAGCATGGTAGCGTTAGCGTGCCGACGTGGGCACACCTCCCGGAAGAAGTGGGTGGATTGCCTGTGTCTCATTTGCATTTAAAGAGACAGGCACTCCAAAGCGAGCGCTCTGAACGGGGCTGTTTTGGCAGGGGGACTGAACTGCTATTGGGCTTCATCCTGATGGGATTTTGACCAAAGCTTGTCACAGACATTACATTAGGACACCAGGGAACCAGTTTAACTTGTTGAAATATGGTATAATATGTCTCCTTTAAACAAGCTAAAGAGGCCATGCGGAGCACGCTAACTTGTATTCCCCTGACACCGCGGTAATAATAAGAATTTACCTCTGCGAACAGATTTTCTTGTCTCATATTAATGTCAAGATGTGCAGATTTCAAGTGAAAAATACCAAATCGGCTGTCAGAATGCTGCTGGGGTAAACAAGCCCACTGACATGTTGTTCTGCATCCTGCTGGATGGAACAACAGATAATTTATGGGACGTGCGTGCGGCTAAATTAAATATGTATCAAAACATCAGATTAGCATCACGGCTACACCGTCAAAAAGATGATAAATAAATGAGGAGGATAAATCTCTACGGATCTGATAGGACAACAAACATGTCCTCTGACATCTATTTAAAGCACATCTGAGCATGTGCCTCAAACATCTGGTTCAGGGGAGACGATCATAGCACGGTTTT